CCCCCCCCCCCACAAAAACATTTAGTTTGAATTTGTTAGAAGAATTTTCTAGTAGTAGTAATCTTGCTCCCCGACGATTCATATTGTCCTAACCTGAGATCAACATCTATTTCATGCGTCGGTGACGTATGATCTATCATTACATTTTCTTGATGGTTATTTCTTGAATCACACGAGACATCCCCGACAAATCGACGTGGTTTGTTTCTCCCTTGAGCAGAATTTGTAAAGGGGTTGATTGGGGTGGTGGGGGTGGCGGTGTTTGGTGGTGGTGAGAAGGTCGGCGCCGTAGCTTTTTGCTTGCGGTGGATTTTCATATGGCCTCCAAGTGCTCGTGCATTGCAGAAGCCGTTATTGCAAAAACTGCACACAAATGGTCGACTTTCTTGATGTTGTTCTTCGACGGTGGTGGAGCTTATTGCGTCGTTGAGGTATTCTGGGATCGACTGACTTGGTTCCATCGACGACAACAGAGCAAGAGAGATAAACCAGGGCGGATAGAGATGGTGGTCAGCTTATGAGTTATGAAAATATTAGTTATGAAAATATTAGGGTTTACTGTATATTGTAAGTTGGCATGTAACTTATATATATAAATATCAGCTTAGATTCTTTCCGAAGTGTTCGAAAGAATCTATTTCTTTATCAAATTTTATTTTGTATGTTAAATATAAGGGATCTTTTTGATATAAAATAAATATAATATATACTGTGTATGATTTCAGAGTGGTATGTTTAAACAATAAAAATAATAGATCCACGATTCAATATTATATATCACAACTTATAAATGATCTTTAATGTCGTAGATACTTGAGAACAATTTGGCATGGGATATCTATCACATTACAAATAACGTGCAAATATAAGTACTTTTAAATATGCAAATCACTACAAGAGAAATTGAGTATTCTAACAAATATTGTCTGCTTTAGCACAATCATGAACCTGCAACTATAAGTATTTTTAAATACGTCATTAAATTTGTAATTTACCTGTTAAACGGGGAAATGACACTAGCTCTAACCGGTTTGTAGGTTACCAATTAGTGGCGGACGCAAAAATTATCAAAGCAGTGGCATAATTTTTTTCGTCCAAATATAATAACATAAAAAAATTAAAAGTGTTAGTACATTAAGTATACCATGTCATTTTTTTTGGACTAATGACACTTATATTTAAAGTTGTTGCTCCTATATAGAAATTTTTTTACACTAACGGGCTAAAACGGAGCAGTGGCCTCAGACCCCAAATACCCCATACATGTCCGCCACTATCACCAATGCGTATGTGGTACCGATGACATGAAAACAATAAGTTTACAAATTATTACGCCTATGTTACATATGTGATGTGGCATTTATTAACAAAGACTTCTTGTCTCGATTCTACCTTTGGCAATCGATCCATCTCAGTTAATCTAACAAACGAAACCAGAAAAATTCAACAAACCCACCGCTCGGTTAATAAACCCACCATCGTCCGCCTACCACCATCACTGTCCACCTAGATCTAGATCTGCAAACCGATACCACCATCATCGTCTGCCTGCCACCATCACATATCATTGTTTCAAATCTTGAACCTGAACCCATTTTCTCAATCGTCAAGTCCTTCGCCTCTGCCACCGTAGCAAACCTCGACCCAACCTTCTTAGTTGTAAAGTTGACGGGATGGGAGAATATGTCACCATTTAAGACGACCCCCAAGCTCACCATGGCGAGTTATCAATCTTTGTAACCACCGAAAACGGTAACTTCTACTAAACTGAACATCTAATTTTTCGACCTCTCTCTATCCCTAAAAAACGTAGTTTATGATCGGTGGCGAATCTAAAACAAAAAACCACGTAGTTCCTTATGTAAATAAAAACCAAAATATGAAAAAGTAAAAAATATTAGTAGTGGCGATTGGGGTCGTATGGCGGCGGAAGGTGAAATCGATCGATCATGTCGGTGGAAAATTGATGAGGCGTGCATCGTTTAGAATGTCAATTAGTGATCACGATCTTCAAGCGACGTTTCGTGAGGCTTTTTTTCTTCTTTTTTGTTTAATTTCAAATGGATTGGGTTATCATCTAATGGATTAATTTAAAGTGAATTCATGCATTTGACTAATCTATAAAATATGGGCGGATAATTTATTTTGCCAAAGATTATAATGTATTAAGGTAGGTCATTTAAAACTAATAAGATAGGTCCCTATTGTTTTTCATATATACTTCCTATTTATTATTAATAAAAATAGGTGGTTTCTAGGACCCACCTTGATGCAAAGTAGCCACACCCCTGTTTTTGATGTCTCCCCCTCGGAAGCGGAAAGCAATCGATGCTTGAATCAGTTGTTGGATTTATGATTTCATGATCGGTGAGGCGTGGAAAGACGTGCTTGGATTTATGAAGGAATGAAGGTTTGTGATCAACAACGATGAAGTGGATGTGAGATCTGAAAAGGTGAGAAGTGATGGATAAAGGAATGATGTTTTGGTTGAATTCGTGGAATAGGATTCCGGTGTGTCCGCCGATTGAGAAGATCCACGGCGGGTGTTGGTGATTATGGTCGTAATTTGGTGGACGACTAAAGGTGGACTTGGATTTTGGATGGCAAGGTCGGACGGCTGAGGTGGTGTTTCCGGTGCTCAGCGTGTCGTTCAGATGCGACGACTGAAGGTGGAATTGGATTTTGCTCTGTCGATTTTCACAACTTGTTCATAACACAAATAGCAAATGATAAATTGTTCTAAGGTGGCGGGTAGAGGTGACCATACTCGGTTCTGGTTTGACACGTGCGTATGTAATACTCCTTTTAAAGATAGCTAGATTTCATCGCCTGTTTATCTTGATCCTACTCCTCATTGCACTGTTATGAAAAGTGTTATGAAAAGCTGGGTAAATGGGATTGTCTTAGAAACTTTACGTGAAGTGCTTTAGAATCTCAATTTTCGAGTTTAGTAGACATGTTACAAAACATTACTTTGACAGAAGAGTGGATAAGTGGCGATGGTGCTTGAATGGATCTTTGGACTTCTCGGTCAGGGATATTAGGCATCATATTGATGAGATAAATCTTCCTTATTTGGGTGTGGTTATTAGATGGAATCGATTTGTTCCGCCAAAAATAAATATTTTTATCTGGAGGCTTCGTTTGGATCGACTCCCTACAAAGTTGAACTTTTCAAAGAAAGGCATCGAGATTCCTACCATCATGTGTCCGATTTGCAATGGTTATGTTGAAAATTTGGAGCATTTGTTTTTTAGATGTGAAGTCGCGACTAAAACTTGGAACTTTATTTCTGGTTGGCTTGATTTGTAGCTCCCGATGTGGCATTTTGTGTTGGGCATATTCCGTTAATGTTTCTCGGAACAAGAGAGTCGGGTTGGATGCCATTTATATGATTACGTGTTGGGCTATATAGAAATTGAGGAATGTTGTGATGTTTAATAATGGAAACCTTGGGAAGAGGACTATTAAGGAGCTGATTGTTGATAACTCATTTGATTGGTTCGTTAATAGGAATAGGAAAGTCTCTATTAACTGATTAAACTGGTCTCAAAATCCTATGTTATTTATGTAATTTTCTAGCTTCTTGCTAGTTGGTTTTTTATAATATTTACTTCCTTTTAAAAAAAACTATTCTCACAGGCAAAGCCTCTTGACTCAAGCTTCGTTCGATCTTCACCTCTTTCATAACAAAAGAAAAAAAAATCATTACTTTATGAAATGAATCTCATATCTTACATTTAGGGGTGGCAATGGGTTGGGTTGGGTCATAAACGGGTTGACATGTTTAATTAAATGGGTTAAAAATCTCTACCCAATCCAATCTGTTTAAGTAAACGAGTTGAGAATTCCTAATCCAACCTAACCATTTTAGTAAATGGGTTGAAATCGGGTTGACCTATTTATTGTTTTTTCAACCCAACCTATTTACTAAACAGGTTGAACCTGGATTGACCTATTTAAAATTTCACCAAAAAAAACCCTTAAAAATAAAATAATCAATCAAATAAAATTACATACAACTTAAAAGCTATAATAATTGTTTAGGTTTAAAAATTATACAACAATAACTTAACACAAACACAAATAAGTGGCTATTAGCATAAACATTATAAATTTTAATTTCTAAATTCTACGTAAGTTGAATATTACTTTTACCAACTCGAATTTCAGTAACGGTTACTGAAGCAAGCGTTTTGATTAATATTAAATAATCAAAATATAGTGATCAACAAATAATAATAGTAAATAAATATAAATTAAAAAAGATTTAAAAATTTTAAGCGGTTGACGTGTTGTAAACGGGTTAGGAATTTCAACTCTAACTCAACCCATTTATTTAAACGTGTTAGACGGGTTGACCTATTTAAGTAAATGAATTTGAAATCTCAACCCAACTTGCTATTTATTGGGTTATGTTCGAGTTGGATTGACGGGTTCGGGTTGGGATTGTCACCCCTACTTATATTCATTGATACGTTAATTAAAGAACGTTGGCCTGCATACTTTAACTTTAGTTTTTTTACATATTTATTTAATTAAATGCAAAGTGGGCGTTAATGGAATGCAAAGTCGGCTTGAAAAATGTAATGGTTTATTTGATATCGATTTTACATGTATAATAATCTATTGCACAAAAAAAAACATAAATGACCAAATTCGGGACATGCACAAAACTTAACTGTGCTAATGACTTTTTCTCTATTTTTCAAAAAAATAACCAAATTTATATAAATTATTGTAGAATTCACAAATTTATATAAATTATCGAATTGTTCTACTACATGGTGTGTTAACTAGAAAGAACATTGGTCCATTTGAAATAAATGTGATGTGGATAACAAGTCGGCACTAGATTTGATAAAAATCTGGTTATTCATTGGAATAGCAAACACACTGACACAATATCTCATTTCATCCGTGAGTGTATAGAAATGGATGATGTTGTGGTGAAGCATGTGAGTACAAATGAACATATATAAAGCTGATAACTTAATTAAGCCAATGAATAAAGTTAAGTTTGAAGAAATATGTAAGTTAGTTGGGGTAAAAGCATTGAAGAATTTTGGATTAAGGGGAGAATGTATCCATATTAAAGAAAGTTTGAATTAGAGTGAACTTAGGAGTCTTTAATTGTTGCCTAAGTAATACTTGTTGACAAGTCTAAGGCTCCCAACAACTCAAATATTAACAACAAAGCGCGCTTAGGCATCATGACTATCCTCTTGGCTTTCATATGGGTCATATGGAATCAACGGAATGAGATTATCTTCGGAACCAAGGTGAGGAGGTGTAAGGATATAGCAAGCACGATTAAAATCATCGTGTTCAACCGGATCAAATGTAGTGCTAGAATGGGTGCTACGATTAATTGGTGTAACTGGCGTGACTACCCGAAAAAAATTACCAAAATAGTGCAACACTTGCGTATCACTAGCTTCTCTTTGATAAAAGTTCTTCT